ACCAGTACCATGCTGTCTTGACTACCACGGCAGTGTAGTAGGATTTTAAGTCAGGGAGTGAGATGCCGTTAGAGGCTTTTATTCTTCTTCTATCATCCTTAGTTATTGTCCAGCTCTCTGATGGCAGAGAAAGTAATTGGGAAGACCATGGCTTGGATTAGGTGCCCTTAGTCTCTAGACTGACATTGCTCTTTGGTGTTGTGGAGAGTTGCCTGACAGCAGACTTCCCCAGTGCAATTTGCCTTTTGATTTCCTCACTGCTGGTACCAAGACTGTTGATTGTGGAGCCAAATAAGCTGAAACTATGAACAATCTCAGTTTCTTCTCTCTCCATCATGCTGCTGCCAGTTGGCCCAGCAGGGAAAATCTTTGTCCAGCATAAAAATAAGTTCACGTATTTTCTTCTAAAATGTGGACCCCTAAGTTTCAGAAAGCATACCTTGTGCCCATGTGTCTGTTGTTGTTATGTGCCATCGAGTCGCTTGCGACTCATAGCAACCCTATGTACAACAGCCCTGTGCCGGTATCACTACCTCTGATTACCCCAGTCACTGAATCAATCCACCTCACAGAGGATCTTCCCCTTCTGTGGTGTCCCTCTACCCTACCAAGCATGATGTCCCTCTCCAAGGACCTGTCTCTCCTTACAACATGTCCAAAGTATGTCAGACGAAGCCCCAGAATCCTTGCCTCCAAGGAGCAGTCTGGTGTCTAGGAGAAGGAATTCTTGGTGGTGGGGTTTATTGTTGGTGTCAGTGTACTCTAGTCAACCTGCTGTGTTTTTTTCTGTTGTTGCAGGTTATTTTCAAAGCAAAGTCAAAATACTCTCCGGAATTACTCAAATACCGGTAAGTACTCTGGGCTTTTGTGGTGGAGGAAGTAAAAGTGGTCACATGTTAGACACACGTGCTCCCCAGAGGCTGCGTAGAGAGCATCATGCTGGGTCAGTGTTGGCACCCCAGTATCGTATCTTCTTACTGCCTGGGACAACATGCCCAAAGCATGTGAGATCCGTGTGTCACCATCATTGCCTCTCAAGAGCACTCTGGTTGTACTTCCTCCCACACAGACTTGTTTATTGTTCTGGCAGTCCATGGGCTATTCAGTATTCTCCAACAGCACAGCTCAAAGACATTGGTTCTTCTTCTGGCATTCTTGTTCATTGTCCAGCTCTCTGAGGCATATGCTTATTTAATCCGCATACTTAACTATCACTGTGTTTAGAAACAAGAACCCTGCCTAGCCTGGCAGCCTTGTCTGTAGCCTGGGGCCATGGCAGGGTCATTGTGTTCTGGGACCTCACACACTGCAGTTGTGCTTGCCTGATCGCCGCTGTTCTGAGCTGGCCATTGGCTCCCATCACAGAGCCCCAAGTCTAACAGAAGCCAGCAGTGCCCAGTCTGCCCGTGTGCGTGACCGGAGCCCATTCTCTCAGCTGTCTTGTGACTCCGTCTCACTCTTGGTTCCCCTCATTTGTGCTGACCCCACCAGGCTTGATGTCCTCGGCTAGTGGTTGGTGTACTCTGACGACCTGCCCATAGTACGCAATGCAAGCTGAAGTCTCACGATCTTTGCCTTCAAGGAACATTCTGGCTGTGTTCCTTCAGAGATGATTCCTTAGTTTTTGTCACTCTGTCGTGTATTTGATAACTTGCCACATGGTTGGGTGAGATCCAACCAGTCCAGACGCTTCTGAGCGTGCAGTCCTCATGCACTGCGACAGACACACTGCTTGTGTCTTTGAGAAGTATTCAGTGCATTTGAAAAGATTACCAATTGAACATAAAACTTGCAGAAAAAGGCAAAGTGGAAGTATCAGTGGCATGGATGGCCCCTGCTGCAGGGCCTTCTGGGCTGTGGGTATCATAAGAACCTTCTAGAAGAAGTGGGTCTGGAGGAGGACATCTGTTTTTCCTGTGGAAATGGTTTGTTTAAAACCAACCCCACTGCCTCCAGGTCAGTTATGACCCCAGTGACCCTTCATTGGTGTCCCCGTACATCTTTGCAGGATGAGACGGCCCATCTTTCTCCTGGGAAGCAGCCTGTGGGTTTGAACTGTCAACCTTTGGGTTAGTGGCCAGATACTTTATGTACTCTGCCACCAGTGCACTGTCTATGGCCTCCCTTAAATTTTCAGAGGCTGCTCTGCCTCCTCAGAAATGAAACTTCAGGATTGGTGAGATCTGGCCAGAGGAGAAATGCCTCCGGAGGGCACATGGAGCACTGCAAACACCAGCCCAGCATGTCTGCAAGAGAGATCCGTTCTTTCCTAGATCAGAATGAAAACCAGTTCCTTTGTGACTTTGAAACAGACACCCACGCCATAATATATTTATATACAGTGGCTAGTGCTAGGAAATTGCGCTGCAATCCCACAGGTGGGCAGTTCATATCCCCCAGCTGCTCCAAGAGAGAAGGATGGGCACTCTCATCCTGTGCAATTTACTGTCTCTGAAAACCTGCTGGAGGGTCAGCTATGGGTCAGTTCCAACTCAGAGGTAAAAAAAGTAATACAAAAATTCCAAATTGACATTATGATTTTATTAAAGTCTTTGTGAGTGCGTGTTTTCATCCCCATTTCCCATCTGGCAGACAGCGAAGTAGAGGAAGACCTTCAACCACGTGTACAGACACGGTGACTGCTGCAATGGGCTCTTAATGTGTCAGCAGGTATGGGGATGGCTGATGATAGAACAGGGTTCAGATCAGTTGTTCATAGAGTCACTTTGGATCGTATTAGACTTGATGGCAACTAACAACAACATCTGAGAAACTAGCGTTGAGAAGGCTTCACAGATAACATAAAGTCTCCTGTCCCTCTCCTTCGGATCCTGCCATTGGCTGCACCTGCTCTGTGGGGGACAGCTCACTGGCAGGCCTGGTGTCCTGAGGAGACACTGCCAATGAGTTCACACCTCCAGCCCCATTGTTAACCAGCTGAGTGCCTGCCATTGACACCCACCAGAGACTGCATGCATTTTAAAAGGAGGACACAGTGTTAATTCTGCTCCAGGCTGTTAAGCTAGAAGTTTAGTGTGTTCATCAATGCATGGGGGGGGGGGTGTGTGTGGGGTGTGTGTGTGTGTGTGTGTGTGTGTAAGAGAGAGAGAAACACAAACCAACTCAGCAGGCTTCCAGAGTCTGTTAATCACATGAGAAGAGATTGCCCATTTTTGCCCTCTCAGCTGCTATGGATTCAAACCAATTGCCTTTGGGTGGGCAGTACAGTTCCTTACTCCTAAGTCACCAGAGCTCCTTTTCTACTCTGATAGGAAAATAGGCAGCTTTTCCTTGTGTTCTGTCCTATCATCTAGAACCACAGACCACCTGGGGGAATGGGGACCTGGGGGCAAAGAATACTTGAAGATGGGAGTGTGGGAGGGTATTCTGATGGGACGATAGAGCTCATTGTGTTTGGGGCTGGGGGTTTGAGGTTATGTGCTGTGGATTGAATTGTGCCCCCCAAAAAAGTATGCAAGAATTCTTATCCCTGTGCACTCAAGACAACATTCTGGGAAAAGTGTATGGTCAGTGAAAGACAGGAAGACCCTCAGTGAGAGTGAGGGACACAGGGACGGTAATAGTGGTTTCCAGCATGGTGGCTGAGGCAGGACAGGCCAAGGCACAGATCTGTCGCTCCTAGGGTCGCTGTGAGTCATAGTTGACAGCACTTACCAACAACCACATGCCTGTGGACGTGATGAAATGTGGTCACCTTGCGTAATGCAATCCAGTGTCAGGCTAATGAGGCTGTGCCAAGGCAGGAGGGAGCCATGATGGCCTTGCGGGCTGCCAACCCAGAGGCACGCCATTCACATCTTCAAGCTCCTTGGGGGAAAGATGGGCAATATCTCGTATGATTCACAGCCTCAGAAGACCACTGGAGGGTCAGCTTTGGGTCATTTCTGACTCGACATCACACAGCAACAGAAATGGCTTACGACAAGCTGGTCTCCTGACCCTATGGATTTGACCATCCCTGCTTCCCAGCAGTACCCTAATCCATCCCCAGAGTTGGTGCTGATTGGCCTGTGTGCCGTACCCATTTTCTGACGTGGCCCATACTCACATCTGCCGTCTGGTTACATCTTGGCGTGGTGAACTCCAGTATCTGCACCCGCTCCGTCTCCATCTCTCCTCCCTCTCTGCCTCCGCGCTGTGCTCCAGGCCTGGCAGACAGCTCACGGGCCCCTGGAGCAAGCTCTCATGTACCTGTGTGCACACCATGCCTTCTTGTTCAGTGCACCATGTGCCCCCCTCCCTCGGCACACATCTCACCCTGAGTTTCAGGGGACCCAGGCGCTGCCCTCCTCAGCTGTGTCTCAGCATGATGAACGAGGAAGTGGTCCTAGTGCCGGCCTGTGGAGCCGGCACTCTTTCACTCTTCCTTTAAAGATCTACGGTTTGACTAATTTGTCATCTGTAAGAAAAGAGATCGGGTGGCTGCCATACTTGAGAGCGTTTACAGCAATTAACGACCACCCATCTGTCAGTTTGCTGTACCGTGGCGGCTTGCAGGCTGCGGAAGCCAGGTCACCGCTATTTCAGAGTCCAGTGGGATCCCCCATGCTGGACGGCTTTCAGCAGAGGTCTCTGACTACCATGGGCAGAAATAAAGGGCTGGCACTCAGTGTCCTTCAGAAAACGGGCACATGTGAACCCGTGGATCCCAGCAAGATTGTATCGGCTAGTGCGCTGGAACCAAGCCTGCTCCGTTGGAAGGCTCTGGTGGTCTAGTCGGTAAGAAGTTGCACTGCTAACCTAAAGACTCGTGGTTCAAGTCCACAAGCTGCTTTTCAGGAGGAGGATGGGCGGTTTCCTGTCAAGTGACTTACTGCCTCTTGAAAACCCACTGGAAGGTCATTTCTGGGTCGGGTTCAGTTTGACGGCATTGAACCACAGCAGTGGGTGCTAACAGCCAGGATCAGCGATGCTGTAGGATGAGGCTGCGTTTAGTGCTGTTACACATGCATGGGGACCAACCTCTCGGCAGCAAACAATCATAAAGAGAAAATGATGGCTAAATAACAGCCCTGGTTTAGACACCAGCACAGTCATGCTTTTTGGTTTCCAAGTGTGCGTCGTAACCTAGGAAGGCTTGTGTACTTCCTCTTTCCTCCCTCCTATTATTACAAATGGACATTCATTGTGCCCTGCTGTGTACAGCACAGATGGGATAGTCATCATGTATTTCACACTAAACTGATGAGTCCATGACATTAAAACTCTGTGGCCTTGGAGTCCGTCCAGGCTGTTCCTTATTTTGATGCCTCCTGAATGGCGTCCCCCTGAAGTAAACAAGATCAGGCAATTAGCAAGGCCCAGGTGTGGCTGCTGGCGTGAAAGAATCTTTAGGTAGAACTCTGGTATACAGGTGGGTAAGGAGTTGCACTGCAGACTCAAAGGCAGGTGGTTTGAATCAGCCAGCAGCTCTGTGGTAGAAATGTGGACAGTCTCCTCCTGTGTCATTTACAACCTCTGAAGAGCTGGAGGGTTGGCTAGGAGTCGGCTCTGAGTGGATGGCAGTGGACTTTGAACGCCACATCTCGTCCCTGGAGAAGGCTGTGGGCCTGAGGTACTGCAGGTACCAGAGGGCCAGTGAAGAGCCCGTTTGGAGCTGTTGAGCCTCAGGCAGGCTGCTGATGCTGACTTGGTTTCCCCCACTTTTGATTATAACGTGAGGGAAAGTTAGCACAGCCAGCTGGTGTTCCATTCAGCCCATTTTGTTTTATGACCTTCATTATAGTCCCCCAGGTGTATCATCAGCACTCCTCCTCTCATCTCTGTGGTTCCTGTTTCTAGTCTCTGCCTCCTCGTCTTCCTGTCTTCTCCTTTTGGTCCCTGGGTAATGATGCTGCCCTAGTTAGTGATCGTGTGTGGTTGCTTGTTCTGAGGGCCAAGCACCTCCCAGGTGTCACGGTTCACTGTGTCGATCTGTCTTGGCTGGAAGTAATACACAGGGATGAGCTAAGTTCAAGGTCTAAAGGGTGGTTCCATTGGTCTCTGACCCACCGAAAGCCTGGCCATTTACCGGACCTTGAGTTTGCTTCTCCATCTCTCTCCCACTCTGTCCAGGGCCTCATCTTGTGGTTCCTTCCAGAGAGTTCAGCAGGGCTAGCTGGGCGGGCACCTTCTCATTCTTCTGGTCTTTGGATTACAGAAGTTGATGTTTATGGACTGAGCTGTTGCTCTGCATCTTTGATTAGTATCACTTTTCTTTGCTCCACAGGGAGAGACCAGTGGTCACTCCTTAGATGGCTGCTCAAAAGGTTTTATGTCTAACACATTGTCTTTGTGGTTATGCTGGGCCAGGTGACCTTGACGTCCCTTGAGGCTGTGGTCCTGGGAAGCCATGCCAGTTACTCTTCCCTTTGAGGTGTTTGGAGTGTGGTGGTTCTCAAGCTCAGGGTTTGTTTGGGATTTGCTGTTAATAGTCTTCTCAGTACAGCGAGTATGTGTGGGATCTCACTGGTGACTTTTTAGGGATTAACTTTATAAATATCATCACGTTTAGTCTTTATAAACAACCGTGTAAATCAAACCAAAGCAAATGCATGTGGTTTCTGAGGTAGGGAATCTTAATGGGAGGAGCCTGCCCGTCTTCCTGTCAGAGAATAGCTGGTGGATTTGAACTGCTGATCTCCTGCTTAGCAACCAGCACATAACACTGTACTGCCAGAGCCCCTTAAATGGCCTTGTAGGCTGGATACGATTCAACTGTATTTCCAGGACAAGAAACAGAAGTTAAAAGAGTGCATTTTCCCCAGGACCGCTTGGCACAGCTGGCCCCTATCTCTGCTCTTGGCTGGTCATTGGGAACCTTCATGGAGTTCTTAGAGCCTCATTTCATTCTCACAGTCCCTTCCACATAATGAACTTGAACCACAGGGAGGTACATGGTTGCTGAAATCTCATTGGTGGTTATTGTTAGCTGCCGTCAAATACGACATACAGTGATCCTTAAATAGACCTGAATCCTCCCCTCTCCTGCGCTGTCCTCATCATCTCTGACCACTTGAGCCCGCTGCTTCAGTCATTGTGTCAGTCTGTCTCACTGGAAGTCTGACCCTCCACCTTTCCAAGCATGCTGTCCCTTTCCATGGAGTAGACTTATCTAGCTTCATGTCTAAAATATGAGATGAAGCTTCACTATCTTTGCCTCCAAGGAACACAGTGTCTGCATTTTTTCTAAGACATAGCTCATTTATAGATAACTCATAACACAAATCCATAATCCTTTGTCTCTGAAATTCAAGGTCATAGTGGTTAACATTGTTGAATCTGCCTTCAGCCGTTAACCACTCTGTCTGCTGTGGGCAAGGCTCAGGTCAGATGGACGTAGGGCTGCTGTGAGCCTGTGGCACTGAAAACAGACAGGAGCACGTAGGAGCAGTGTGCTTCATGCCTCTCCTCTCTTCCAGCTTGCCGCTCTATCTGGTGTCCCTCTCGGTCAGCCTACTCTTCCTTCTGGTGAACCTGACCTGTGCCGTGCTGGTGAAGATGGAGACCTGGGAGAGGAAGGCCATCGTCTCTGTGCGTGTGGCCATCAACGACACGCTCTTCGTGCTGTGTGCCGTCTCGCTGTCCCTCTGTCTCTACAAGATCTCCAAGATGTCCTTGGCCAACATTTACCTGGAGTCTAAGGTAGGGTCACATGCAGGCCTGCTGTCTTCACAGAGCTTGTCCTGAGCTGGGCATGGAGGTCTTCCTCACAGCTGACCTGCCAGCTCTCCCTTGGTTGATGGGTTCAAGGCCTGAGCCCAGAGGTACAGTGAGAGGCCAGGCTGGGGTGGGAAGTCAGGGAGGGTATGCCCAGCATGTTGATGGCCACAGGGGGTCACCTGGTGTCACCTGGCCTCTGGGGCCTCGGTTTTTCCCTCATGAAGTGGGTGAGGGTCTCCTCCAGTGCTTGTTCTGTCATCTCTGTGCCAGGAGCATACTGTGTCCCTGCCTTTGCCTCAGGGCCAGCGTATCTTTGGTCTGAAGATTCAGGCAGCTCCATCCCTCAGCCTTTGTCCTTAGAGGGTAACCTCTAGTTTCATGTCTGTGGACCAACCTCATCGTTCACTGACCCCGCCTCCTACTGGGAAGGTTCGCCCTCCCGCAGCCCTGGCTGTGCAGGACCAGCGGAGGCAGGTTTCTTGGAAGTAGATGGAATGAGCCCTCTTCAGAGTGCTCCTGGGTAAAAGTGCTAAATGTCTGCACCACCCAGATGCCCCATCACATCCTGGCCCTGTGTCCCAGCCGAGAAGGCTGAGAGCTCTGGGGACATGCTGGCCACCCTCAACTGCCCTGGACAGCACTGATCTTCCAGAAAGAATCAGCAGTGGCCACCCTGCCCCTTAGCTGGTTCAGCAGCTGGCTTGCAGCCCGAGACCTGGACACTTAGCCCACCTGGTGTCCTCCATGCTGAGGTGCCTTCTGAGCTGGGCAGTGTTGGCCGTAGTGTAGACTAAGGAGGAAAGGCCATCCGTGCTCCTTGTTCTTACAGCTGGGCCTCGGCCAGGTGGACATTGCCTAGCCACATCCCCAGGTTGTGAGTGTCCATGGTGAGAATTGGAGGGTGGCAGGGTGGAGGGAAGGGAGTGGGCTCTACGGGAAGACTGAGCAAGACTGTGGTGATTCTGAGAGCCCGGGGTCCCCAGGCCCACCCTGAGGGCCACACCCTGATGTCCTTTGTTCCAGGGCTCCTCCGTGTGTCAGGTCACCTCCATTGGCGTCACCGTCATCCTCCTGTACACGTCTCGAGCCTGCTACAACCTGTTCATCCTGACCTTTTCTCCCAACAAGAACGTCCACTCCTTTGACTATGACTGGTACAACGTGTCAGACCAGGTCAGTGGGCTCGCCGAGAGGGGCTGCCTGCCAGGGACCACTGCCCCTCCATGTTGCCTATGTCATGTCGCTGTGTTCTCATATGTCAAAGGGGAGCCGAGTACCTGTTCCATCTCACAAGATTAGGAGACACACTCACCTCACACGAATGTTACAAATGCCATACATAAGCACACCCTACACACTACATAATGACATCCATGTGTATGCTCCAAACATAAGCACACTACATATATAAACAGACCACACGCAAACACATACACGCCCCACACATGCGCACACCACATAGATAAACATACCACACCTACACGCCCCACACAAACACTACAGGTGCCACACGTAAACACACTGCACATGCCAGATACAAGACACGTATGCGTGCACCAAACATAAACACACCACATGCATAAACATACCACACACAAACACCACACATGCCAGATATGACACGTATATGTGCACCAAACATAAGCACATCATAAACGTGCCACACAAAAACACACCTCACATGCAAAATGTAAGTCACCACACATGGACACTCCAAATGTAAATATACCACATATACAAACAGACCACATACAAACAGTATAGTGTACATGCCCACACCACTTAGATAAACATACCACACATACACACACCACACACGCCAGATATAAGACACATATACGTGCACCAAACATAAACAAACCACTTAGATAAACATATCACATATACACACACCACACAAACACTGCTGACACCACATGCCCTACCACACTATCCCCATATGACAGATGCCACATCCATGCATAAATGTAACACATGCACATAGATAAAATACCACATGTACACGTACCACACAAACACTACCAGTGCCACCCATAAGCACACACCAAAATAAAACACACACATGCACCAAACATAAACACACCACATGGACAAATATACCACACATAAAATACCACACATATGTGCCCCACACATATACATACCATATAAACACACCACACATACATGCACGAGACACATAAACACACCACATATACACGCCCCATCACACTATCCACATATGATAAATGCCATATACAAACATACCACACATGGCACGCATTACATACCTCACAGAGTACACACCACATGTAGATGACACATAAACATAGTATATACATGCTACATGTAAACACACTACATCTGTACCACACCTATGACACACAGAAAGATCACACACATAACACATATACCACATAGAAACACAGCGCACATCACACATATGCCATATAAACACACCACACAGATCACACACCCCAGCCAGCCTCCGCACATGTACCATAGAAACACATACACCACGCTACGCATAGTTACTCTCCACACCACTTAAATACAGCACACACAAGTACCACTTGCACACACCATATCCCCTCCATGCTGACTGTACCGTGACTATACACATCACTTACACAGCACAGACATATGCGCAGACCACCATGCATCCCTCACACACTTTTCCACACAAATATGTAAAAACTAATGCTTCTCCTTTTCGCACCATCCCCATTTTATGTAGCTCTTCCCAACTAGTACTTCATAGTTTGGGTTTTGTTTTGTTTTTAAAGTGTGTTTAGGAGCTCTGCTGGCTAGGTTATTGCCCTGCTAATCCAAATAAAATGCTGCCATCTAAATGGATGTTTTTGTTATGGTTGAAACGTGCAGAGATAAAGAGTGTTGTATTCGGGTGTTAGAAGCACACAACCATGAGGTTCTGAGGAAATCTAGAGAAAGATGAATGAGAATATTTGGGTTTTAATGAGTGCGTTTTACCAGCAACCTCAATATGATTTTTTAAAATGTGTTCTAAGGATCATTCTTAGGATATACCTTCCATAAAGACATGGTAGAGTTTGCTAGCAAAGCCACTAAGGCCTGGAGTTTTCTTTGTTGGATAGAAATTAAGTATAAAGTCTAAAAGTAGTTTCTGTTCTACTCGAAATAGAAACAAAGTTCTTTGTAAGGAAATGAGTAAAAATAGCAAGACTCTTTTTAAAAAAATTTTTTTGATGTTTTTTTAAAATGTCTTAAACCTTTAATTGGCATCTCTGCCCACAAAACCTCATATCCACGGTGCTGAGATACGGAAATGAATAGACTTACTTCCGATCCTGTAGAAGCTTATGGCCCAGTGAGGGGAACAGAGCTCAGCCATTAGGATTAAGTCTGGCTTCCGTACCAGGAGTCTGGCAGGATTGGATTGCCGATGTCCCTTAGGTTTTCCAGGGAAAGTACTGAATATTCTATAATGTACAAAATCCACGTCGGAAATCCTGACAGCACTCACAACACGGACCGCATTGAAGTCTTAGAAGGAAAAATTCCTTTAACGTTGTCCTGACATGTTAACCTGTGCACATGGTAGAGATGGTGACGCTGGCCCGGACCCCGGCCCGGACCCCGCGTGGTTTCCTTGCTCACAGGCTCACTGGGAGGCGGAGTTGACGCAGAACAAACCTGTGATGTCAGAGTGAAATTTACAATACAGATAAGGCATTAGAATCACCCCCCCCACCCCCCACCCCCCAGAGTCCCCCACTTCCATCACGTAAACCCAGCACTGACTGACCCTGCAAGGCAGCCCCACAGGGTGTCCTGGGCGGAAATCTTTCTGGAAGCAGACTGCCACATCTTTCTCCTGCAGAGCTGCTGGTGACTTTGAACTACCAACCTTTTGATTAGCAGGCGAGCACTTAGCCATTGTGCGGCTTATGTTTCCGCTAACACCAACTAATACTTCATATATAGAATGAGAGAAATTTGGGCATAATACCAGTAAAGCTATGCTCTGCTTTGAAGAAAAAAACAAAACAAAACAATAAAAAAACCTTAGTCAAGTTTCTTGTTTCCCAGTAGACAACTAGTGGATCCGAGTCATCTACTTTTAGGCTCACAGCACAGCTCCTTACCCTCTAGTCCACCAGAGCTTTGTGTTCACATTAACAGGAATCAAATACATTCCCCCTGCCCTGACTCTGCTGACTGCATTTCCTCTCTCTTTTAACAGGCAGATTTGAAGAACCAGCTGGGAGATGCTGGCTATGTAGTTTTTGGAGTGGTCCTGTTCGTGTGGGAACTTTTACCTACTTCCTTAGTCGTTTATTTCTTCCGCGTTAGGAATCCTGTTAAGGACTTTGTAAGTAACACCATTTCCATCTGCAGTAAAGATCTCCTCCTTCGAAGCATGACTTAGAATTTTATTCTTATGAATTGGAATTTTTTCCTTTGCTTTTTATCAGAAAGGGGTTTTTTATCCTCTCAGGACATAAGAAGTCCTTTTGCTTGTTTTACCAGGAAGTTTCTTTTCCACTTAGTAACCCATGGGGATTTGCACTGGTGATTCAATTCGCGAGCTGCTCTGAGGAAGAAGGACGGGCAGTCTCCTCCTGTATGGTTTATAGCCCCTGAAAACCCACTGGAGGGGCAGCTGTGAGTCGGTTCTGACTCCACGGCCAGAGTTCTCTGTTGTCCAGTGCTGGCTTACAGATGTCAGGACGGCTCTGAGCACTTCACGTTTTAATGTCATTGATACGGCCATGCTCTGAGGGCATGTTGGGCTGTTCTTTGATGAGGATAGTCAGGCTGAAGGTCACATGGCAAGCAGGAGATAGAGCCAGAACTAACCCGAGGCTGTCTGCCCAGGACCTTGGCTTCCCTGTGCCTTTCCTTAGCATCACAATGTTTGGAGGAGAAGCTCCATTCCTAAAAGAATCACATAGTTATCATTCTGTTATTATCCATAATGTAAGGCTATGAACTTAAGAAAGAGATCAGAGAACAAGAAAGCTTAAAAGCAGCTTTATTAGGGGAGCTCCCAGGCAAGGATCTTCGTTCTGAAGATGCAGAAGAAGGAAGTTGCACTTTGAACGTATTGGAGAGGGTTTTTATAGCAGGGTCTTTAGGTGTAGGGTAGGGAAGGGAGGGACATTCCATTGTGATTTATGATTCATCCATTTGTTAGTTAGTTGGCCAGGTGGGCGAGGCCATTCACTCTTCTTATAGACATGTGCATTCTTTGAATACTTCATTCTCCCCCTTGGCCCCCTGTCCAGATCTAACACATAACATACATGATCACTTGGAGCTAGAAGAGCCCAAGAGTTTGGGGGAGGAAGATTTGTAATTTAGCTCATAGCCATTGACCCTGGTGGCCTAGCAGTAAGCAGCTGCACTGCCATCCCAGAGGTGGTTCGAATCCACCAGCTGCTCCATGGGAGGAGGGTGCCCATTCTCCTCCCATGTGATTTTCAGCCTTGGTAAACCCAGTGCAGGGTCAGCTGGGAGTCCTGACTCAGCAAGGACGAGAGAGCCATTGATGTGAATGTACATGCACCCTCTAGGATGTTGGGCACTGTGCTCGGCAGTGCTGCGTGCAGCCACATCAGAGCCCCTCGCTCTTGCCCAGGCTGAGCCAGAATCCCACAGAAAGCTTCCAGTAGCTGCATTTTAAATAAAGTAAGCAGCTCAAGAAATAGGCATTCTTGGGCCTTTATAATAACATGATGCAAGGCATTCCACCTTGTGGACATTCCACTTTACTGCTTATTTGGCTTGATTTCCCTATAACAGGGGCATCTAAATAGCAGACCATCTTTGTGTTAGCACATACTCTAGTGGATGACTTTTAAATAGGCGTATGTATATGTACGTACGCATGTAAACACACGTGTCTGGCTTGGCATATAATAAGGTTCTGATCTTGGGTTGATAAAGATTTTATCCATGCTGGTAAATGTTAGCGTGAAAGCACAGAATACACACTGGAGCTGACTCTTACAAATAGCTGTCTGCCTTGTGCAGGTGAGTAGATCATTTTAATTCTCCTGGAAGAAAAAGGTCCTCCTCATCTTTGTTGTTGTTGTATACCATCGAATCACACCCAGCACATAGCTGACCCTCCAGTGGGCTTTCAAAGGCAGTAAATCACACAGGAGATTGCCCATTTTTCTCCCACAGAAGACCTGGTGGATTTGAACCATGTACCTTTGAGTTGGCAGCACGGCTCTTAGCCACTAAGCCACCAGAACTCACTTGTCTTTGTCTGGTGTAAGGCAGCTCTCTCAAGGTGTGCTGCATGTGTAACCATCTTTCTAGACTAACCCAGGAATGGTGCCGAGCCACGGATTCAGCCCCAGGTCCTACTTCTTTGACAATCCTCGGAGATATGACAGTGACGATGACCTTGCCTGGAACACTACCCCTGCAGGACTTCAGGGAAGGTAAGAACCTGGCGTGTGTTGGAGAGACACAGGTGGACATCAGGGAAGTGGGCTTAAATGAAAACCACGGAACTGAGAGTGTGTGGTGCTGGATCACCTGTGTTGTCATTACATGCCATAGAATCAACTGTGACCCACAGTGACCCCAGGAAGGACAGTTCTGAAACTTACCCTGTCCTGTGTCACCGTCATGGTCTCTGACATGCTCAAGGCACTGTGTCGATCTATCTCGTTGACAGATGGTCTTGATCTCTTTCTCTGACCCCCCCACCTTTTGCAGCATGATGTCTTTTGCCATGAGCTGGTTCCTTCTGAAAACATACCCCAAGTATAATACTCAGGAATGAGAAAAGACATCAAGTCAACAAAGCACCAATGATTATTACAGATAATAGTAAGTCCTACGTGGTGTTCCATGGAACACTTTTTCTTAAAAAGACAAAATTTAACATTTTGGGGCGAGAGAAAGACTTCTCAGAGCCTGATCCATGCCCTGGCTCTCCATGTGCTAGTACATGCTCTGACTCCCTAAAAGGACAGCATGGTAGTTCCGTGGACTCGTTCAGAGGAATGTGATCTGAGAGATGCTGGCATACTTCTTTAATCAGGAGTTCCAAAGCCAGGGATTAAATTATGTAGTATTCATTTATTAGGGTAAATGAACATTAGTTGTTGTTGATTGCCATCAAGTCAAGCACGACTCATAGTGACTCCATGAACAAAAGACCTACTGCCTTTCTGTAAGTTTCTCCAAGTTCATAGACTTTTCATAGGCACGTGATTTAGGAAGTGGATGCCAATCCTGCTTTCAAACATGTCCTACATCTGGGAGCTCCACCAAACATTGTCCTTACTGGTAAACCATTATGGTATTTGATACCCCAATGGCACAAGGTTCAGCATCACAGCAAACCCAGATTACCTCAGTGCAGCAAATTGACAAAGAGTGAGGTACAAAGTAGAAGAGTGTTCCTCCAAAATATGGCAACACTAGTTTTACTTAGCAATTGTTAAGTGTTGTCAAGTCGAATACATAGTGATCTTATGAACAAAAGATATGAAAAATGTATTTGAATTATGTCAGTTCTTACTTAAAGATGTCATATAAGTTAAAGGCATTTATTTGGGTCTTAATTCAAATATTTGCCTAATACTTATATTGCCCCTGCTGTGTGTCAGACATAGTCTACCTTAAGTTTAGAAGCTTGGCTAAAGGGCGTGACCCTGCTGGTGTGAGAATGACCAGTGAGGTGGGGAGCTCAGGTGTCATGGTCCAGAGGAAGTTGTGCTGCCAGCCCAGAGGTAGCATCTGTCTCGCGGTTCAAATCCACCAACAACTCCATGGACTAAAGACGGGCAGTCACTTCTCGTGATTAACAGCTTCGGGAACTCGCTGAAAGGTCAGCTGTGACTCAGCTTGTTGTCCCTCACTTGTTGGCAGTGAGGGAGACAGTGACGCAGCTTCCAGTGTCATAGCGATACCTAAGCCACCACAGTACACAGACCAATGGGGAGTATACTCAGACTGAGGAGGAAGGACTTGTGATCTGCTTCCAAAAAGTGGCCTGTGCAGGCCGTAAGGATAACCATGGACTTCTGATACAGTGCTGGAAGGCGAGCCTTCCAGTTAGAGAGGGCTCCAAATGTGACAGTGTACTGGGACTCCCCAAGGATCATGAAAAGACACAGGGTCAGGCCATGTCTCAATCTGTTGTTCTCGGGGTTGTCATGAGTGGAGGAGATGTGGAAACTAACAGCATGTGTCAACTTCACAAATATGAATTCATTCCATCTTCCATCAGTCATGAGAGGTGGCACTGTTAATAATACCCTCACATCACCACTCCCACCGAGTCATGTGAAGGTGAGTGATTTGTCTGTGTTTGGGCACTATGTTGAACCTTTTCCACCTGAGGGGGCTCATTTTCTAGCACTTTGTTGTATGCCATTGAGTCAGAACCGACCCATAGCTGACCCTCCAGCAAGTTTTCAGTGGAACTGTATGGGAGGAGATTGCCCATCCTTCTCCTGTGGTGCAGCTGGTGGATTCAAACCCATGTCTTTTGGATTGCATCCCAACTTTGTACTACTAGACCAGCAGAAAATGGTGTTTTTGCTAGCTAATTAAGTCACTTGGTTTTTCTTCTAGTTTGTGTTAATCTCCGCAACCTAGAAATAGCCCCAGATTGG